TCTTTACCCACCTGGCCGGTCAGCCTACCTACCTCCCTCCCTCTCCCCCATCCAGGGAAGGAGAAGGGGGCCGGCACGGAGAACACTACCACACTTGACAGCTCATTGGGCTGCACCCCTTGCTGCCCCCTCACCTAGCCAGTTCTGCTGAGGCATCTGTAGGACACATCACTTTCCGGAAGATCATTCGGGTGACGCTTAGAGCCTCCTTTGCACACACGAGCGACCGCACCTCTCCCAATAGGGTCCAAAAGGGCACTTCCGCTATGATCTTGTTTTGGCCCCTCTGGCACACTTAGCTTAGAGATCATCTACATTTGACTTAGGGCGGATCCGTCCCAGAAGGATCCTCTTTTATGCTTTTCCCACCTGGCAAGCGGCGCGACATTGGCAGCGCTCCCCTTGCTGCCCCAGTTCCCTCCCTCCGCGTGGAATTTTGCCTTCTGCTTGTGTCAGCACCGTGCACAGAAGATCCTGGCCCACACACGCACCCACGTTCAGAAGATCCTGGCCCACACACACCCAGGCAAGTGGTAGCCTTTCTGTTTTCCATTCCCCTTCCCCCCCCCCCGCCCCCTCGGCTCCCTGCGTTAAACCTGATACACACATTACGCACAAGAGACAACTGCGGCCTGTGTGTTCCTGATCCTGCCCTCCCTCGCCCCGCCCCTCCCTGCCCACGCATTCTGGAGACCTGCGGCGAAGGACTCCCCGAGGGATCCGAACAATCGGAGGCAGCCCAGTGGAGCGGACGCCTGGTGACCCGGAGGAGAAGTTCTATCCTTTTTTGGAACGGGCAAAAAAAGCGTTATTTTCTGTAACCCTCTTTTCTCCTCCCCCCACCCCCACCCCCCTTGTGCCATGAGGGAAAGGGATTTATTTCAGAGCCTTTGCAGCGGGAGGGCACTTTCCCTAGAGAAGCCCCTAAATTATAAGGCAGGAAAGTTGACACTTTAGAACGGGGGAGGGGAACGACACGGCCCTTTTATGGCTTACAGGCTTCGACTCCCAGAAGCCGCAAGTCATAAATGGGCCATCGTTTCCCCACCCCTGCTTTAGAGCGCGCTAATAAGAATGTTAAATTAATCCTGGAATGAGTTGACCGGGGTGTTTGTGTTCAAAAAAAAAAATCAGGCGATTTTACTGGTCTGATATGAGCAGGTCAAAATGATGTCCTCTCTCTTATATGGAAGGAAAGGAATGGCAGCTCCTTTTCTCTTGTTGCCCAGATCTTGTTACTCTCTTTAAGCCAAGCAGGTTAAGGTGCGACCCTGTGCATGGTTAAATGTTAAACATCTTGGAGAAGTGACCAGTGGAAGTTAAGGAGCTGGAGTAAACCCGCTTTTTCCCTACAAGTGGGTGTCCTCCGTGTTTTTTTTTTTTTTTAATTTTAGGTAATGAAAAGTGGATTGTTGAAGCTATTTGAAAAAGGGATTATTTGAAGACTATATTCAAAATCCAGATGTGACTCAAATTATGTTAAGGCAACAATATTAATGTCTTATTACGGAGATATGTTTTTAAAAGGTGACGTTAGCCCCTCCCATTCACAGAATGTTTTGCAGGATAAATCCTTGGCTGACAAGGGAGAGTGCTGCTTCCCAGTGTGCACTGCTTAGGCGCATGTGAGCTGTTTTTGAGTGTTATTGTTGGAAGGAGTTAGCCAGCCTTTGTTTTCTGGACCTGCCCTAAGGGACCAGGGCCTGTGTGGTAGAGAAAGCCGCTCCTGTGCACACCTGTGCTTCTTGTCCTACCCCTCTCCCCTCCAAGCCCAGGTCAGTCTTACCTTGGTCTAACTGGCCCTGGATTTGCTTCTCAGCCTATGGAGATCTTCGTGGATGATGAGACCAAGCTGACGCTGCACGGTCTGCAGCAGTACTATGTCAAACTGAAAGACAACGAGAAGAACCGCAAGCTGTTTGACCTGCTTGATGTGCTGGAGTTCAACCAGGTGCTTTCTGGAAATAGAGCCTGTGTCTTGGGGACCTGGGGGTGGTGGGGAAGGCCCAGAGCTGGCTAAACCCAGTACAGGTAGCCATCGACTTATACCCACTTATTTGGCAAGCATTTGAAGCTATAAGGGCACTGAAAAAAAATGTGACAGCTGGTGCTCATGCTTACAACCATTGCAGTATCCTATGGTCATATGATCAAAACGCAACAGCAACCAAGTACAGGTAGACTTTGACAACAGTTGATTGAGTGACTGTTTCAAAAGTTGTGTGTCACCGAAAAAAGTGGTACATGACCATTTTTCACACTTGTGACCATTGTGGCATCTCTAGTCACGTGATCAACATTTACAATCTTGGCAACGGACTCGTGACAGTTGCAGTGTCCTGGGGTCACGTGATCAGCTTTTTGCGGTCTGACCAGCAAAGTCAATGGGGAAGCCAGATTCACTTAACCGTGTTACTAATGTAACTGCAGTGGTTCACTTAACGCTCATGAAATGAGGCAAAATTCACTCAATAAGTGTTTCACTTAGAAACTGAAAGTTTGGGCTTAATTGTGGTCAAAAGTCAAGGATTACCCGTATTTACGACAGTCGCTGTATCCCTAGATCAGGTGATCCATTGGTCACCTACCCGGCCTGCTTCAAACAAGCAAAGTTAGATAATCCAGATTACCTTAACAATGGTGTGATTCACCTAACAACTGCAGTGATTTGCTTAACTGCGGCAAAACTCATAAGAGCAGGCTTGATTCACTTAACAGCCGTCTGCTGAGCAAGGAAAATTCTGCTGTGGTTGTGATCATAAGTCAACTACCCCATTTTCCCGAAAATAAGACCTAACCTGAAAATAAGACCTAGCATATTTTGATGCATGTGCCTAATATAAGCCCTATTTAAGAGTGCACAACTGTGTAGCCGACCATTACATCTAGTTGCTTGTGCCATGGCCACGAGGCGGGGTGTTGGTGGGGCTGCCCCACATGGCACGCGCCTGCTTACCTCAGGGCCTTTTCAGCCAGGCCACCCGCGCCCAGACACTTGCCTCGCAGCGGCAGCACCAGCAGCCATGTGCAGCAGGAGCCCACTTCTGCGTTCTCCCAGCTGCAGCGGAGCAGGAGGTCGAGTGGTGTGTTGGGGCTGTGGCTGGGAGGCAAGACAGGTGTCGAGGCATAGGCCCTGAGGTGGTAAGCCGGTGCAGGCAACATGAGGAAGCTCCACCTTCCCTTCTCTGTGGCGGCAGCACTCGTGCACTGCGCAGCTTCCTGCCCTGCCCTGAACAAACAAGAAGTGGGCTTCCTGTACGTGCCCCCACCCCCAAAATAAAGCCCGGGTGCTTATTTTTAGGCCCCAAAGAAAATAAGACCCGGTCTTATTTGGGGGGAAACCCGCGGGTATATGTTCATCTTTAAAGACAGTTTGGGGATCTTGAATGCTAAGGGTTGGCGGCTTCTGCTACAACTGTCGTACGTACATTTTGGGCAGAAAGTAGCCTTGTCAGACAGGAGGTTTGCTTACGTTGCTCTGAAAAAAAATAAAAAGCTAACTGCCACTTTTTGACAAACTCCGGAGTTGCCCAAGGGGTCTTCAACAAAACCTAACTAAGGAAGGTTCACGGGTGTTCCTTATGAACGTGGTGGGTTTGACGTTCCTCTTCTTTTGCCTAGGTGGTCATCTTTGTGAAGTCTGTGCAGCGTTGCATAGCTCTGGCTCAGCTCTTGGTGGAGCAGAACTTCCCAGCCATTGCCATCCATAGGGGCATGCCCCAGGAAGAGAGGTGAGGCTGTGGCGGGAAGGGGTTCCGAGTCCAGTTCAGCTGCCTGCGGGGTCCTTTTGCTGTGATGAATTTGCTCAGACTAGAGTCTCTGACTTCTTCAGTGCTGAGGCTTTAAAAGCCCTGAGCAATGGCCCCTGCAGAAGCTGTTATAAAATCTCTTGCCAAAAAGTTGATTTGTACGAGGAAGGCACTTGACAAAAGAAATGGGTATCCTGGGGAGAAAAGGCCTGTTTCTCATTTGAAATGTTCCAAAACAGTAAAGGTTAGGGATATATAGGGTACGTTGCTTTTCACATGCGCATCAAGATGAGCAGTGTTAGATCCTGAACATTATGTGGGTTTTAGAACCCACATTTTCCAGAAGTCTGGAATGTTGCATTTTACGCTTTGGGGAGCGGTTTGGATGGTTTTCCAAAAGTAAATTCTCTGAACCAGAAGCAGATTGAGGTGTTCCAAGGTTGCCTGCTCCTGAAACGAGCGTTTTGTGTGGAATGCAATGCCATGTCTGGAAAATTTCAGATCGTCAATACCGAAACTTTCCAGTGGAGATTTGATACAGAATATTCCATTCTCGAGTTAATGTCTTTTACACATCCTGCATTTTGCATGTGTGTAAAGATGTGTAGAAAGAATAAAAGTCTTGGTTAGGTCACAGTAATGGAAATGAAAACAAGGGTTCAAAAAGTATAACCTATAGATGACGGATCACCAATATCACTTTATAGCCCGCGGACAATTTTGAGTGGGCCCAAAAAGGTCCCCTTTTAAATTTTTTAGTTGGGAGAAGCTTAAGAGGCCAATAGGTTTTTTTTGTGGGGGCATTTCACCTTATAAAAGATCTGACGAATCTCATATTGGGCTCCTAGTTCCACCTACTTTCTCAATGTAGGCTTTGGAATGTCTCCCAAAGACCAACATAGCATTCAAAATAATTTGATAAATAAAAATTAAAATGACAGAAGCCCTCTACCTCTGTTCTGTGGGTGAAGTTTCATGCTGAAGGGACACTACCGTGTGTTTGCTGTCTCGTATAGATTGTCGCGGTACCAGCAGTTCAAAGATTTCCAGCGTCGTATCTTGGTAGCCACCAATCTGTTTGGTCGTGGCATGGATATCGAGCGGGTCAACATCGCTTTCAACTACGATATGCCAGAGGATTCAGACACTTATTTGCACCGGGTAAGCTGAGCTGTCCAAAAAGCAACCTCCTAAATTTCCTCCGTTTGGGTGCCCCAACTGGGGATGGGTATGAAAGTCCAAGGTGTAATTTGCAATGATGAATTGCTCAGACTAGAGTCTCTGACTTTTTTCTGATGTCTCTTTGAAAGCCCTGAGTAAGTGCCCTTGGTTGAAACAGCTTTGCTTTTAGTCCTCTACTGACCTTCAATTGGTTTTGAATCCTATTTGGGGCTCACGTGTGGGAAAAAAAAAATCCATTCCCGTCTTCTCATTTCTGGATTCTAGGTGGCTCGTGCTGGTCGCTTCGGCACAAAAGGTCTGGCAATCACTTTTGTGTCAGATGAGAATGATGCTAAGATCCTAAATGAAGTGCAGGATCGCTTCGAAGTGAACATCAGCGAACTTCCTGATGAAATCGATATCTCTTCCTACAGTGAGTGTGTTTTACCGATTGTCCTCAACTTACTATCACAACAGTTGAGCCCCAAATTTATGTTGCTGATTGAGACATTAAGTGAGTTTTGCCCCATGTTACAACCTTGCTTGGCTCAGTTGTTCAGTGAATCATTGCCGTTGGTAAGTTAGTAACCCAGTTGTTAAGGGAATCTGGCTTCCCCATTGATCTTCCTTGTCAGAAGGTCACAAACGGGGATTACAGATAACAAATAATCAGAATTGGAAGGGACCTTGTAGGTCATCTAGTCCAACCCCCCGCCCAAGCAGGAGACCCTACACCATTACTGACAGATGGGAGTCCAATCTCTTCTTGAAAGTCTCAAGTGATGGCGCTCCCACAACTTCTGAAGACAAAGCTGCTCCATTGGTTGATTATTCTCACTGTCAGAAAGTTTCTCCTTATTTCCAGGTTAAATCTCTCCTTATTCAGTTTCCATCCATTATTCCTTGTCTGGCCTACAGGCGCTTTAGAAAATAGCTTGACCCCTTCCTCTCTGTGTGGCAACCCTTTAAATATCGGAAGACTGCTATCATGTCTCCCCTGGTCCTTCTCTTCACTGGACTAGCCAGGCCCAGTTCCTGCAACCGTTCTTCATATGTTTTAGTCTCCAGTCCCCTAATCATCCTGGTTGCTCTTCTCTGTACTTTTTCTAGAGTCACAACATCTTTTTTATAATGTGACCAAAACTGTATGCAGTAGTCTAGGTGTGGTTTTACTAAGGCTTTATAGAGTGGTATTAGTGCCTCACTTGATCTCGATTGTATCCCTCTGTTAATGCAATTTAGGATTGCATTAGCTTTTTTGGCTGCTGCTGCTGCACACTGCTGGCTCATATTTAGCTGGTGGTCCCCAAGACACAACAACGGTCATAAATATGAACCAAGTGTTTGAATTTGGACCACATGATCATGGGGGTGCTGCAAAGGTCATAAGTGAAAACTGCAATAAAGTCATAATTTTTTTTCAATGCTGTTGACGCATTGAACTTTCAACGGTCACTGAACAAACTATTGTAAATTGGGGGTTACCTGTACTGTGTTTTAGCCCAGCCCACCGCATCTTTGCACAGTTAAGTATTTCGGAAAGAGAGTGTGGAGAGGAACCCGTGGCTGATGGCACAACAGTATTGCCTTCTAGGCATTTTGCAGAGTAGAACTTTATATTTTCCAGATAACAATGAAAAGTTGATGTTTATTAGTACAGTGTAAATATTCCCACTTTCAGTATACAGATAGACCTTGGCTTATCGAGTCCAAAATTTATGTTGCTAAAGAAGTGAATTCTGCCTCATTTTACAACCTTTCTTGTCACAGTTAAGTGAATTTTGACAGTTATTAACATGGTTGTTAAGTGAACCTGGCTTCCCCATTAACTTTACTTGTCAGAAGGGGTGCAGAAGCTGATCACAATACCAGGAGCCATTGCAACCATCATAAATATGAGTGAGTTGCCAAGCATCTGATTTTTGGTCATTTGACCATGGGGATGCTTCAACCATCATAAGTTAGAAAAAGGATCATGAGTCACTTTTTTCAGTACTATTGTCACTTTGAATGGTCACTAAACAAACTTGTAAGTTGAAGACTACTTGGTTTAAATTGTGAGGCTTGCTTCCATTCTAGTGATTCAATATGGTGGGTTAAATAAGGCACCCTTTTGTGTATTGGTTCTTCCTTAGCTGATTTTTGTTCATTTTAATCTTAGTGTATTTATCATTTGAATGTTTTAAATCAGGGGTGTCAAACTTGATTTCATTGAGGGTTGTGTTTGACCTTAGGGGTTGTGTTGGGGGTGCCTGTGGCGGCCCAAGTATTCTGCCAGCAAAACCTGAGCTCTTGAGGGTCTCACACAACCATCCCGAGCTCCGTTTTTGCTGGCAGAGACACCATGGGCCAGTCTTTCGTTGTTTCTGGGGTGGCCCCGTGGGCCAGATTTAAGCATCCCACGGGCTGGATCCGATCCATGGGCCTTGAGTTTGACACCTGTGTTATATTATGCCTCCCAGGATTGCTTGATAGATTGTTAACCTATAAATTTAATAAATAAAAATAAATAAACCAAATTATTATTTGAGAGAAACATGGTTCTTTTTGTGGTTTTTTTATCCACTTTATAAGCTGGGGGGAACGGAAGGGCAGTGTTGTTTTGAGTGAACATAAAGAAGTTGAGAATAGCTTAAGGGGAGATATTGAGAAATGAGCGAGCGTAGGAAAGTGATTTTCTGCTCTTCAAGTGGGAGTTGAGATTTGCTTCGATGTAACGACGGACCTTTTTCATTTAGCCAGGAGCCGCTCACTTGCCCTGTTCTGCCTGACGCCTTCTCTCTTTCTCTCTTTTTTTTTTTTTTCAGTTGAACAGACCCGATAAAAGGGGGGCTCGCCTCTCCTTGTTGACCTTGGTTTTAATTCCTGACCTCTGCCACTTTCCTGAAATTTCACATTTAATTTCACCTGATGGAGAAAGAAGTGACTGACTGTCTGGAATACAAACCTACCCCCAGTCCTGTGGCAGGGATAGAAGAGCTTCTGTCACTTAGCTACGTGTAGTGGAAAACGAGGCCGATCACAGCAAAACCTCCATTGCTCATTTTGAGAGAGAGAGAGAGCGAGCTCGTTGGGGTGGAAGCCTAATTGCTTGACCGGCACTCAAGACGAAAGGAGCACCTTCCCGTCGATGCTTTTAATACAAAAAGAGACTTTTGACTTTCAGACAGATGTTCACTGCCTGCCTACCAGCAAGGGGTTTTTTTTGGGGGGGGGGGGGGAGAATTCCACACGTTGTATTACTCCACTGTGTTTCTCCAGTCGGCAGGTCATCTTCCGCACTGCTGACAGGAAGCGCAAAAGAAAAGGGGGGAAGGAGCCGAGGTGGTGGTGGTGGGGTTGCTCTTGTGAATTTGTGACATTCAAAAATTGTGTTTTGTTTTAAATGGGGGTGACTTCCTCGAACAGGAGAAACCTCAGAAAACAAGCTTCCTTTTATAATGCTCTCTCATGCCATTTTAAAATCCACTTTTTAATTCCCCCCCACCCACTTTTCCCTGTGTATTCCTCATGGCTTTCAACTTTGTCTGCATGTTAGCATTACTTCCACCCCTGCTGGTATCTTCTGGCGGGTAAACTAGTAGTGAAAGTTAGTCATGTTTTAGCTGTGGCTTGTTCTCTCTCTCTCTCTTTCTCACCCTCCCTCCCTCCCTTTGAGACCCTCTTATTATTTTTTGTAATAAAGGAGCCCAGCTCTTAAGGGTGACTGATTAAACTAGTCTTGTGAATAAACATTTTTTCTGGTGTGGTTTCGTTTTTTAGGATTATGGCTCTATAGTACCTAACAACATAACTTCATCTTTTCTTTTTCTTTTTTACTGTGAGCACACAGGCCCACGTTAAAATGAAATTATATTATCTGCTCCCAAGAGAAAGTATACATCTACCCATACATAATACACATGCTATATACATACATAAAAATATAACTGCCCCCATACATACATACATTAATACATATATATTAATCACTTCCATTTTGAATACATGGATATAAAACCAGGACTAAGAGGACAAGTTCAACATTGGACAGTTACTTGTACACTTAAGGCCCGAATGATTACAACTGGCCTTGAAGCAGAGTGGATACAATCTATTTAAAAAAATAAATAGGATTTTTTTTAAATTTTTATGAAATTTATTTTAATAAAATGTGCTTGGAGTAAAAATAAATCTAAAGATAGTTTTCTATTTAAGATATATTAATTTAGTTTATTCAGCATGAAATGGGAGCTTAGTTAATGTAGCTTGAGGCTGTATATTCTGCAATATTTACATTTTTGGTAAACTCAAAGAATCCAAGCTCTGCAAAGCTGAGGTAACATGCATTATTAATGCATTCACACAATTCCACAGTAACCGTGAGATAAGTCATGAAACAAAGTTCAGGAATATTCCTTTATCCTGCCGTTTTTGCAAATCTATGTACACTACAAACGAGAAATGCATCTGTACCACCGGGCTCTTAAGTGAGAGGAAGAAGGGCAAGCAGTAAAAATGAAAGTGAAACCTAAGCAGCTTATAAATAAAAGCACCGCATTTCCAAATCTCTTATGGCAGCGCCTTTTACTGAGCATCCAGTCACCTGCGTGCCGCTACCCTCACCTTGTTACTGCTGTATCACCAGCTATCCAGTGGCGGGATTCAAATTTTTTTATTACCGGTTCTGTGGGCGTGGCAGGGGAAGGATACTGCAAAACCTCCCCACCCCACCAACCTGCTTTCCAGCTTCGCTCTCCTGTGCAAGGCAACCAAAGAAGACCCAGCCGATCAGCTGGGACTCAATGGGAGGCAGGGAGTAGATGGGGATGGGACCAGTCAGAGGTGGGATTTGCCGGTTCTCCGAACTACTCAAAATTTCCGCTACCAGTTCTCCAGATCTGGTCAGGACCTGCTGAATATCCACCTCTGCAGCCATCCCAGTAAAATGAATGGGACTAAGTAAATCCACAGCAGGTCAGAGGAAGAACCGCTGCGGGACAGAGATGACAACTGCTCTTTAAAAATTATGGTTTAAAATCAAGCCTTTTTAAGAGTGATTTAAATTGACTCGATTTAAATCAAACCCACCCAGCCTTGGTGAATCCTTAGTTAATAACAGCTACGGAACGATAACGCATGATTTATCTGGGCCACGGACTGCTAGTCCTCTACTCACGGCCTTAATGGAGCCTGCTTATCATAGATGTATTTGCAGCTTTCATTAAGTAAATCTCCCTGGTTGTTAAATGAAGATGGTCATGAAGTGAACACTGGCCGTTTAAAGCACACCGATGGCTTGCCATGGACATTGAGCAAAACTTTGGCTATGCGATGTAATTGCCAGAACCTGGAAGTGTGAGTGTTCAATAAAACATTTGGGAAGCATAACCGTGTGACTATAGGAAACTGGGAATTATAAACGCGACCCTGTTGCAGAATGCGTGAAATGTGCTCATGTGACCAGGAAGGGGGTGGGAGCAATTTTCAAAAACTGGGTCATAAATAAGCCCCAAGGTAGGTGGTTGTGACTCTGAACTCTTGCTGAGCAACCAGTCATAAATTAAGAGGGTCCTACTTTGATGGGATGTGTTTTTATTTGGAGTTTCTCTACAATCTTTCCAGGATGTGTGTCTGTGGTGAGAACAGGTGCCCACTTGATCCTCACCCAGTTGAAATTTGCCACATATAAACTACCTTTTGTTGAGCGTTCTCTTGTGTACAGTAAAAGGTTTAACAAAAAGACACCACAGGGTTGCAAAAGGCCTCAAGAGCAGCAGCTGTGGTAGCAACAACTGTGTGTCTTCTCTTCCCCCCCTCCACATTTTGTGCCTGTGCAGTTGCTCAATGACCGGTAGTCCTCGACTTATGACTGCAACTGAGCCCCCATATCTGTTGTTAAGTGAGACAGTTAAAAGTTTTGCCCCGTTTTAGAAGCTTTCTTGCCGCAGGGGTTAAGAGAATCGGGTTAGATTTTGCAGCCAAAATTCAAATTCAGAAGATTTGATTCAGCAGGATTCATTAACTTCTTTATATACATAATGACATATGAAATAAAGTTTACAATACCATTAGTAGTTTCTTCCAACATGGTAAAGGTTACAAACAAAAACACCAGCAGATGAAAGAACAGCAGAGAACAGTTTCTGTTTTGATTCAGAGTTGCAGACAAGACTGCAGCTTCAGAGCTCCAGAGCTTAATATAGAGCCACGCCTAGGCTTCTTCCAGTTTCAGTTTCCAAACAGCCCTCATTGGCTGATTTAGTTGCTATGCCTATTCATTGGCTGACCTTGTTACCATCCTCTACCAGTTCATGAATATTTTGACAAATCATTGTAGTTGATAAGTTAATAACCTGGTTGTTAAGTGAATCTGGCTTCCCCATTGACTCTGCTTGTCAGGTCGCAAAAGGGATTCACATGACCTCAGGACACAGTGATGGTCATAAGTTTGAGGCAGTTGCCAAAAGAGCTGTGGTGGTGGGTTAGAATGCAGTATTGCAGTATAACGCTGCCCGCTGTCGGGAGCTCGATCCTGCCCGGCTCAAAGTTGACTTGGCCTTCCGTCCTTCTGAGGTGGGTAAAATGAGGGCTCTGTAAACAGCTTAGAATGGGCTGTAAAGCAACTATGAAGAGTATATAAGTCTAAGTGCTATTGCTGTTAATCAGTAATAAATACAACATTGATTCCCCCCACCTCTCAACGGTCACTTTCTTAGTGAAACCTTTCCTTCTTTCCTTCCTTCCTCCCCTTGCCTCCCTCCTTTCCATAATCACCCATCTTTTATGCCCAAATAACCCTGGATGGCTTACAGCAAGAATGATAAAACATAAAATAATAATGCTAACATACTCCCCGGTACATTTGCTGGGATCCAATCTCACTGTAGCCCGGCACTTTCATATTCAGCCAATGTGGCTGGGTTTTGGTTCAGCATGATTGGATACTGAAGCAATTCGATTAGCATGTTATAGGAATACTAAACTTTTATTTTTATTTATTTTTGTCAATTTCTTATAAGATAATAGGTATAAGTAAAAACATAGTTATGAATACCTGGATACATATAACAAAAATAAAAAGAAACAATAGGACAGGGATGGTAGGCACTTTGGTGCGCTTATACATGCGCCCTACAGACCTCTTAGGAAAGGGGTGAGGTCAATAGAAGAAAGTCTAAGGCTAAAGGTTTGGGAAAGAAACCACAGAGTCAGAGTATTCCAGACATTGACCACTCTGTTGCTGAAGTCGTATTTCCTGCAATCAAGTTTGGTGTGATTAACCTTGAGTTTGTATCTATTGTGTGCTCTTGTATTGTTAAGGTTGAAGCTGAAATATTCATTGACAGGTAGGACATTGCAATGTATGATTTTATATACTATACTTAGATCGGACCGAAGGCGGCGTAATTCAAGGTTTTCTAGATCTAGAATTTCAAGTCTGGTGTCGTAAGATATTCTGCAACCAGTAGAGGAGTGGAGTGGAGAACTCTTCTTGTGAAATATTTCTGGACTTTCTCAACTGTGTTAATATCAGATACATAATGTGGGTTCCAGACTGATGAGCTGTATTTAAATATTGTTCTAGCAAATGTTTTGTAGGCTCTAGTTAGTAGTGTAATATTATCAGAGAAAAAGCTACATAAGATTAGGTTAACAACTCTTAATGCCTTTTTGGCTATGTAGTTGCAGTGGGCTCTAGCACTTAGATCATTAGAGATGAGTACTCCAAAATCCTTGACAGAGTTTGGATCATCAACAAGGTCTTGACTATTCAGCCTGTATTTTATTTTCTGATTATTATTTATTTTCTGATAAACTATATTGAGGCTTAGCATAATGTGGGAACTAAGCCACGCACACCCAGGTCAAACACAACCCTGATGCAGCCCTCAATAAAATCGAGTTTTGACACCCTTGCCCCAATCTAACCAGTTCATTTTTTAAGGATTTTTCCCTTTAAGAGACTGTAGGTGAGCTCCAGACAGGCCTTGGGGAAAGGTAATGTAACTTGAGTCTCATCACTACCAATATTTTAAAGACTTGGGAGTTTGATCTGGTAGTCTGATACTCTTGGCCTGGTAGCACATTACCATACCTGCCGGCCTTTGGAGATGCTTGTTGTAAACTTCAAAGGTCTTCCTGCATGTGAGAGCCATTCATGCAGCCTCTGTGAGGGATAGGATCTTTCAGAGCTAAAAAATTTTTTCAAACTTGGCAATTCTAAAGTGAAGATTTCAAACTTTCTGAATTCCCCAGTTGGCTGGAGAATTCTGGAAGTTGAAATCCACCCAGCTTAAAGTCCCCGAGTTTGAAAAACACTCCTCCCTCTCTCAGAAACTAATCTTGTTTTTTTTGTTGTTGTTTTGCAATCCTTAAAAGACCTATTTGCTAATTCTCTGCATTTTTATTATTAATCTACGCAACCGATAGCCATCATTAATAGTTAACACGTGTCTTTATTCTGGATTTCAACCTCTCGATTTGAAAAGTTGGCAACCCCCCCCCCCCGGAGGGAGGGGTTGAGTTGAGCCTAAAAATGCAATTCCAACTATTTTAACAACGCACTTTCGTTTTTGACCCTGGGGGAAAAAAAATAACTCCCTTTCCTTGCGGATCCCATACCCATTCCCCCCCCCCTCCTCCCTTTGGTTGGAAGGGAGGGAGGTAATTTAAGCAAGCTCTTTTTCTGCTACTCTGGAAAAGCTTGGGCGGCTCCGATGTTTAGTTTATTTTATTTTTTCCAGGGAGCCACGAAAGGAGAGCCCAGCAAGGAAAAAAGCAGAGGGATGGGAAAAGATCGACGCTCGTTCCCGAAGTCCAGCGCGCATCTCCCATCCAGGGCGCAAGCCTCACAAACCCACAAAACATCACACACACACAAACCCACATAACGATCCTCCCGCAGCCCTCAGGCCTCTCTCGGCTCATTCCCGCTGGCTTGGTTCCTTCCTTCCCTCCGCCTCCACCCGGGGCGCCCCCGCCTCTCAACCCTCCCAACTTGCAAAGCAGCTGCCGCTTGGCAACTGCAGCAAAGGAGGGGGAGAAAGAGTCCACAAGCCGCTTGGAGAGCCCCCAAGTTGGGGGAAAAGCTCTTTTTGCTTCTCCTTCTTCGACCTTGCCGGCGTCCTACTCTGGATCGAAAACGTGCGATTTTTCCCCCGCAAAGCCTGCGCGCTTCGAGCGATCGCGCTGAGCCCGCCCTGCCGGAGATCCCCGATCGCTCCGGTTCCTGGGCCGGCTAGATCCAGAGGCTCCCTCCTCCTCCTCTTGCTCCTCGCAAAAGCCTCCACCTTTTCGGGTGCCGCCTCTCCCAATCCGGTCGGGCCAGAAAAGCCAAACAAGGAGGGAGCTCGTCTTTCTCTCCTCCTCGCGCCCTCCCTCTTCTGCGTCGAGGGCTGGGCAGCTTCTCCCTCTTTTCTTCCCTTTCTCTTTCTCTCTCTCTCTCTCTCGCGTTCTCTCTTTCTTTCTCTCTCTCGCCTTCTCCTCCGGGTTTGGCGGCTCCAAAGATTCCGCCACCCCCCCACCGACCCCCTCTTCCCGGCCTGCCTGCCTGCCTTCCTTCCTCCCGGTTTTCCCCTTCGCTTTTGCTGGCGGTTGCTGCTTGGAAGCGCCAAGAAAGGAGGGCGAGATTGCAAATGCAAACCTCCCCCGCTCCAGTTCAGAAAGCGAGGACGGAGGGGGCGCCTCGACCCCTTGAGAAGCAGAGCGAGCCCAACGCGCGATCCGAAGGAGAAAAGTTGCTCCGGAGACCTTTACGCGCAAGTGTGCGCTGCGCTCCCGCACGGGTATATATAGATGTGTGTGTGTGTGTGTGTTTGTCGATCAGGTGGGTCGCAATACGGCGCGGGATCTTCCAGTTTTGGGGGGGGGTTGTTGTGGACTTTGAGGGGGGGCGTAATAGGGGGGAGGTAAGCTTCGTGGATCTCGATCCTTTGATTCGACTCGATGCGCGGATTAGGAAAGGGAGGCTGTTCCTTCCAGATTTGAATTGCGGGGAGCGGGGGGGGGGGGGGCAGTGGATTGGAAAGGGGAGGCCAAAGCTTGCTCGGAATGGGCAATCCAGGCCTGAAAAGGCAGTTCCAGCAAGCGCAGGATGCTATAAATAGATCATATAATATCAGTCCGCCAACCCCCCCCCCCCATTTTTTTTTTTTCATTCATTGGTGAGCTGAATGCCTGCCTCGAAACATTTTCTCCACTTGGAGTTTGGGATGCAAATTCCAGGTAGAAGTGGTGGTTGTTGTTGTTTTAATCTAGTGCTTTGCAGAAACCAGCATAGATGGTTGCCTAGCTGGGCATAGCCAACACAGACATAGACAGACAATGGTTGCAGATTAGATTTTTTTTATTCCCCTCCTTTTGAAAGGCCCACAATAGGAATCTCGAGTGTTTTGGCAAAGATCTTATTATGCACCTTCGGGTAATATTAAAACGGTAAAGATAAGTGTTGTACCTCAGGTTTATTTCTTTTAATTTATATAACTGCCTCACTCTCCTAAGCAGCGCTCCAATTTGGCCTCTTCAAAATTCCTTTCTGTGTGAGGTGGCTTTTAAAAATTCCTTTTTATGTGAGGTGGCTCTAGCAAACCTCTTCTTTGTTGTAAAGTGGAAAAGATTAAATTAACAGCTGAAATTGGCCAAAAGAGCTGGCTAGGAAGAGGGCAAAGTTCAGAGAGCCATCACTCTTGATAGCTTGGCTCTCAAAACATGCTAGTGCTATCTGATAATTTTAAGCTACTGTTTTGAGGTGGCTGTTTTGCAGAGGTATAGATACAAAAAAAAAATGGAAAAGGGTGAGCCAAAAACTAAGTGAAATGGTTCCAGGTAAACAGGGAGTTCTTTGAACAGGTGAAATGTCCTTTTGGATAAATGTCTGAGCCATTTATTACTACAACGGTGGCAACTTTAAGATGTGGACTTCAACCTCCAGAATTCCCTAGCCACTGTGCACTTCCATCCCCAGAATTCTGCAGTCAGCATGCTGGCTTGGGAATTCTGGGAGTTGAAGTCTACACCTGGTAAACATGCCAAGGTTGAGAAACACTGGTTTAAGTGAATATTTGCAGTGAAGCCCCAAGGAGGCTTCCTCCTAATTTTAAGGAGAAAAGAATTTATGTGTGTTTATAGCAGTGTTTCTCAACCTTGGCAACTTTTAAGATAGCTATTGTTAGAATAGAATAGAGCTGGAAGGGACTTTGGAGGTCTTCTAGTCCAGCCCCCTGCTCAACCAGGAGAAAACCTGTACCAGTGGTCGCCAACCAGTGGGCTGGGGACCACTGGTGGTCCATGGGAAAATTTTGGTGGTCCGCAGAGAAATGTCACCCCCAAAGCATTCCCCAAAGTAATTAATCCAGGCTGTGCAGGAACACAAGGCTACACCACCCATATGGCCTGCAGGAACACAAGGCCTGCGTCGCTTGCATTGTGAGGAAAGATAGTGAGGAGAGTGGGGGGGAACTTGCCCCGCTCACCCCACACGTCTGGCCTGGCCACTGGGCTGCTTCTTTCCGCTTCTTTCTTCTGCTTTTGACTGCATACAAGGAAAGCATCAAAAGTCTTTCTTTCTCTCCCCCAAACTCCATCAGAAATGAGTCTTTGGGACCCTACAAGGCATCCTGCTCCAAGAGGCTGCACTGGCAAAGACTCATTTCTGGCAGAGTTTAGGGGAGAGAAAGAAAGACTTCTGCTTGCACGAAGACTTGCACGAAGCCAAAAGTCTCTTTCTCTCTCTCTCCCCCTGAGAACGGAGCTGGAGACGGTATCCTGCGATCCCAAATAAAGAATGATTGATTGGTAGGAAAACAGGGTGGGGAATTTTCCTGCAGACTTTTTTGGGGATTTTCCCCGGGTCTCTGGTCCATGGGATTTAAAATTATAAGTTTGGTGGTCCCTGAGGTCAAAAAGGTTGGCGACCCCTGACCTATACAATCTCAGATAAATGACTGTCCAGTCTCTTCTTAAAAACCTCCAATGATGGGGCACCCACGATTTCTGAAGGCAAGCTGTTCCACTGGTTAATTGTTCTCACTGTTAGAAAGTTTTTCCTTAATTCCAGATTGCTTCTCTCCTTGATTAGTTTTCATCCATTGTTTCTTTTCCTGCCCTCTGGTGCTTTGGAGAATAATTTGATCCCCCCTTTTCTTTGTGGCAGCCCCTCAAGTACTGGAATATTGCTATCATGTCACCCCCTAATTCTTCTTTTCTTTTGACTAGCTAGACCCAAAATCTGCAGCCATTCTTCATATGGTTTAGTCTCCAGGCCTTTGATCGTCTTAGTTGGTCTTCTCTGAACCTTTTTTCCAAACTTAAAAGATCCCAAGATTCTGGGTTGAGGAATTCTGGGAATTGAAATCCACAGAAACTTAAAGAAGCCCTGGCTTAGAGATACTGCTTTCATGATTATCTTTTCATGCATTCTCCTCCTCCTTCACCACCACCACCAAATTAGAGGTAGTTCCTTTGTTTCTCTTAGGGCAAAGTCTATTTATCTCAGTGGGAGTTACTTCTGAGTAATGATGAGCACTCAAAATTTCACAAGCAGATCTTATATAGTTGCTACACTTTGGGAATGGCAGTTCTTGCATTTTGAGGATTGAAGAGATGGTTTGGGCAATCCTGTGATGTCACAGCAAGACAGATATGCCTAAGATTAAAAAAAAACAGGTTTCAACTTGATGATTTCTTATGCTGTGAGAATATTCCTTTGTGCTGCCAATCTGTAGCTCTCTAGGTTCATTTCATAGTTTGAGTTCGCGCTATTAAAAAAAAGTTGTTCTGTCCCAAATTCAGCCTTTTATTTATAGGGAAGAAAGATTTTGCAGACATAAAACAACAATTTTGGAACATCTTAGGAGTGGTGCTAAATTCCCACATGTGGCTAAATTAGGATTATTAAACTATAATTTCTTGAGCAACTCATAGCAGCCAAATCTGCTTCTAATGCTAAATCAGAATAGATGGATTTACAGCTGTTAAATCAAAATCAAGGCATCACATTGGGATTCATTGGGAATGAAGGAGAGCAAATATGCAAAAACAGCAAATCAAGATGTAGGTTAAGTTGTGAATATATTAAGAGGCAGAAAAAAGACAGGAAGACAGATTCTTAATTCCAGATTTAGCTTAATCTCTGCTTTTTCCATAAAGTGAAAATGTAATTTGGTTCATTTTTGGGAGGGTAGGGGGAGAAGAATAAATGTGGGAATATTTGAACCCCTTCCCCCACTCCCAATGTTTCCATTACTCAGAGATTAGGCTAAATAATTAGAGAATTACAAGCTGTCCCTTTTTCTCAGTGCATTCAGAAATTCAACTCATAACTTGCATTCTCTAACACATCTCAAGGAACACTAGATAAAACGGAAAACTGACTGAGTAAATTAGATAGAAAAGAGTTGATATGGGATGAGTGAAAATGTATAGGTTGATTTTCAAGATACAAAATAATATAAACTATATTTGCCCTTACATCAAACTTTTTGGAGTAAGTCATTATTATTCCTATTGTTCCAGACACAAAGTAAAATAATAGGTCACAGTAATTGAAGTAAATGTCTATATTTTCACTATCTTCAGAGAACCAGTTGTGCCCACTTATCCTATCACTTTTAAAATGACAAAAAGCCATTTAAGGCTTTCTCTTACATGTTTCTTATATGGTTCTCAACCTTGGCAGACTTAAAGATGGGTGGATGTCAACTCCCAGAATTCCGTAGCTAGTATGGGCTGGTAGTGGAATTCTGGGAGTTGAAGTCCACCCAATTTTCAAGTTGTGTCAAGATTGAGAAATAGTGATTTAGTCCTTGCCACATCCCAACTCTTCATCCCTTGCTTGTTCTCGTTTAGGCAATTAGTTCATCAATTTAAAACCGCCGCCTTCATTTTAGAAGGAGGGAAAGTCCCACTTTTGACTGGAATTAGCATGGAGTGATATTTTGGAGTGCCTAAATGCCTTTTCCTATTGAAGCAACAATATGTTTTGTTTTGTTTTTTTTGGGGGGGGGGGTTGGTGGTAAAAATACAGAGGAGAAATTCCCACCTCCTCTTTTATCCAGTTTGTCCATAATGCTAGAAGTAGTTGTATGATGTGGTAATCAGTTCTACTTGCTCTTAAGTAAAGTGCCATCCATCATCTCTATTTTCCTGAACAGAGAAAATTATATTCCCGATAGCCAACGTCCGGAAGAACCGTAAACCTGGATGACCTTAATTTATGGAGAAGCTCAATTGTGGTTTACTTGAAGAATGAGTCAGCAACTTCAGGATTTGAAACACTACTAATCAAGCTGAAAGCAGACGCAGAGAAACCCACCAAGTTAATCAGCATTCTTTGCAGTGGGAATCCTTTCCTGGAATTTTTTTTAGCCCAACTGACTTTTAATCTTCCTTTTCCACATTGCTGGTAAAATAGACATCCTGGGCTGGAGGCCTTCTTTGGAGGTAACCAGGATTTTATTCCCTGTGCAATGTTCTTAAACAGAGCCAAGTCGTGGCTCCCTAGACTGTCCTGGTGGAGAGGAAAGCAGGACTTCAACCAGGAGGAGCATTTGAAGGAAAAACCAGAGGTTTCAGTGAAATGCACGGGACCTCCCAAGGCAAGATGGTGGAGTGGCCGCCGGCTTTTGGAAATTATTGGGTGGGGCCAAGGCTCAGCGGCTGGAGGGCACTCACTGTTTGCTGGGATACCTCAACATGTTGCTCCTCACAAGCCATCGGTGGAGTCTCCAGAACATTTCCAGATTTGCTTCAACTTCACCCGACACCTCTTTGATCTGTGTGTGGTGACTCTGCTCTGTGCATCCTCCCCGGCTTTCCGGTTGGTTATGGATATCCTGGGATTTGGAGGACCTGTGAAGGTTTGGCTCCATGGCTTGGCCTGTTTCTTGGTCAGCGCCTATGGGATGTACTTGGTTCTTTGGTTGGTCCAAGAGTATCTGTTGCAATTTGCCTGTCTCTATGGGTTTTTACAGACCTTGGTTTTGTGGGTCAGCATCCGTGCTCGATCGTCAGAGTCTCCAGAGGACAAACAAGCTGACGGACTCGATACAGATAGAGAAGGGGAGCAGTCTGCGGCCAACGGATGTAAGCAAGAATCGCCACTATGAGGAGGAAGATTGCGTGGACAATCTTGGGACTGAAGCCCAAGAGATTGACTGAAGTGGGCCCTGGAGGGTCAACAGGAGAAACTTTTATCTTGTATTTAGGATGGCTGGACAGAAATTGGGAGAAGATAAAGGTAACGAGGAGAAACACTATTCCTTAAAACGAGTAATGATTCAAAAATAAGCACTACATCCGTAGAACTTTCCCATAGAAATTGTTTTAAATTCCAGTTCCCAGTGGCAGCAAGGAGAGAAGCTTAACGGATGGGATGTGTAATCCATCCAGGATTATCATCACCTAGTGGGGCTTAGCCAAAAATCACAGAAGAGGTGTGAGATTCATCTAACTTAAAGTCATAAACTAATCTGAGCCTGGTTTGGGAGTTATGGCTACCTCTAGAGGATTCTGGGAACTGTAGTTTTTGAGGGGAAGGGGAGACAAATTATTAAATCCCTTTTTGGGCTTCTTGATGGGAGTAATCTTTACCTCTGGTTTGAGCCTGTAGTGCCCAGGTAAGATATATTTTCAGAAGAAAGCAAATAACATCCAAAATATAGCCAATTCTTGCATATTTATAAGGGCCTACGATTTTTCCCTCCTTTGGCATCTTATTGCTTTCTGGGTGACAGTGACCTGGTGAAGACCATCAAGAACAGGCAGCTGAAAATAAAGAGTGCATGTTCCTAAAGTTATGGTCTAGCCCAGGGAGGTCTTCAAACATGGTAATTGTGGACTTCAACTCCCAGAATTCCATGGTTGGCTGAGGAATTCTGGGAGTTGGTTCACAAGTCTTAATGTTGCCCAGTTTGGAGACATCCCTGGGCTAGCCAATAAGCAACAAAAAGTTGTCTTTTAAAATAGGTTGGATGGTCTAAAAATAATGGCTCATTTAAAAGCCTAGAGAAGAGTCAGTAGTTGAATTTTCTGGAGATAAAAATCCAATGTACCCAAGAATCTACCTTCTTCTGCCAGAAATGGGGAGTAGAAGATTGAGAAGTAGACATCTGAAAGGCAGGTGGCTTTAGTGCAATTGGCAAGAAGGGTAGAAGTTTCACAGGGGTCCTAATCTGTGGGTGACAGGGAATCCCAGGAAGATTAAATATCTTTGCAGAAAACCAGCAGAAACAGAAACCCTGAATTCATTCCTGAGCTGGACCTATTGCTGCTTTTTATCTGGGCCAAGTTGGCCATCCCCAGCTAATTCTAGTAGAATTGTTGATGGGTGGGGACAGACGTTTGAAATAATACTTCGATTCTTCCACCCCATTCCTCAGGGAGAAGCAGTTCTGAGCCTACAGTTTCAATATCCCCAATTGCCCGGGGCTCCCCTTTTCACCAGCAACCAGATTTTTTTACCCAGTTTTGAGAAACTCTGGCTCTTCTCATTTTCTTGACTCCTTTCTCATTCTTCGGCAATATTTAGATCACCGAACCAGGGTCCGCACCCCCTTATGGAAAAAGAGCTGTTCTGAGCCAAAGACTCCGGTGGCTTGGTTTTATATTTTCCATGCGGACATATGCAGAATCGGTGATTCACGTGTGTATTTCCCTTTCCGCGGTCTCACTGAGCATACAGAAGGGTGAATGGCAGCTGTCTCCAGGATAACACAGGTCCATCACTGATATGTTTTTGTAATGTGATTTGTTTTTAATTTCTTGAATTGCCTAAGCAAGTCACTCCCGCATAGGTCATCAACTATCATGCACAGGTTGTCCTTAGAAGCAGGAAGAATAGAAAGTAGATGTTGGACAGCACAGGAGGTAGAAGCCAACAGAGAAGTTAGGGGGCTGGTAGGAAAATCTAAATATAGGGTTGTTGCTGGGTTGTTGTTTTTTTTTGAGGAAGAATGGTGAGGAAGCTGATTCTGGTAAGACGTTTCCCAATTAGATTCCTAATTGCAGAAGTTTGTTAAGGTTGGCATGTTTCACTTTCTTTGAAATGTTCTGCAACACAAAACCCTCCTAGATATTTATGATTGTAATCTCCATGGGATCTGAAGTCCAAAAGGAATCCAGATGGAGGGCATTTGGTCCACTGCTCTTGATCCAGATTCTGGCACAAAGTCCACGCCGTCGTCTAAAACTGGAGTCTTCCAAACTTGGCAACTTTAAGACTTTGTGAACCTCAACTCCCAGAATTCTCCAGCCAACATGACTGGCTGAGGACTTCCAGGAATTGAAGTCCACAAGTCTTAAAAGTTCCCAAAAGTTTGGCAACTCTTGACCTAGAACAAGGATGTGCAATCGGTGGGCTGCCAGGTGATGATAAACTACAATTCTCAGCTTTTTCCAGCATGGCTTAAATTACCTGGCAAGGGTGGAGGGTTATCCAGTTTCAACATTTCTCTCCTATCAGCAAACCATCCCATGAGAAGGTTCAGCTTGGCCTACTGCAAATCCCTTTTATGATACATGATGTGTCACTTCCACAGGCCCGGATGCTATGAAGTCGTTACTCAAATGAGCTTGTCATTTAAGCAATGCTCATACATTCGTTTTCCTAGAGGCATCTACCCCCATTTCCTTCTGCCCATGGAATCCAGCCTTTCTCAGTGTAGCCCTTCTATTGTCCTATTCAACATTCCTGGAGGACATAGGCTGAGGAAACCTGGGGGATATTATGGTATTTCAAATGCAGTGATGCCCCATACAGTGTGCGTGGCGGCTGACAGAATGCCATTTCCAAACTAAATTCGGCACGCAAGAGCTGGGAGAGGGAAGAAGGCCTCACGACACGTCAGCGAACCTTGGGAAAAGACATGTAAGCAAACCCTCTTTCCAGGCTGTGAGGCTTTGGCAGCTGACTGCTCCCATGGGTTGCCAGAACAGTCGTATCCGTAGCGCCGCTGGTGCCTTGCCTTTAGATGACTCATTTTTAATTTTTTTTTTTTTAAATCCCTTTTGCAATACTGTGCAATACAAAAGAGCCTTTCAACTTCTCCCTCTTTTCTTTTTCTCCACAATGCACATCTGGAGTGCAGGGCAGCCACTCAACCAGCACATCTTCGCTCCTTTCCCAAATAGCAAAACTCGTGACTGAAGTTTGGGTGGAGCTTGTAGCTTCAATGAAGACTCGAGGGGCTTTTACAACTCTAGGGCAAAATCACCAGCATCTTCCTTCCTCTTCTCCTGAGTGCAGAGATTTGTCCTCCCAGCCCCAGCCAAGCCCCCTCCAAAATTAAGAGAACTACAAATTCCATCAACTCCCATTCATGTGCTGATGGCTGGAATGAGGCCAGGGGCCTCCAAACTTGGTAACTTTAAGACTTGTGAACCTCAACTTCCAGAATTCCTCTATGCTATGTTGACTGAGGGATTTTTGGAGTTAAAGTCCACAAGTTTTAAAGTTGCCATCTTTGGAGACCCCTGGTCTAGTCCAAAGGCTAGAAGGAAGGAAGAGAATTAAGATGTATCTTAAGAGCTCGGTGGCTTTTAGTAATCTTTTTTTTTTTTTTTAACCTCTTTCCTTTGGGGGGGGGGAAAACCCCCCCCCCTCCCCCCCCCCCCAATTTTTTTAAAAAGAAGAAAGCAGCCCAAGACCATCTCTTCTTGAGAGGCATTTGAAATTTGTACTTTTCTTCCCCTCAAGCAGCAGAATTAATTCCTCCCAAAAAAAAAACCCTTAAAAAGAAACTGGAACTTGTTTTTCCTTCCTTTCTGATTCTCTCTGACATGTGTCCTAACTTCACACCCGTAGAAGGAAATTACAAGATTATTTTCTATCTTGATTATTCTCTCTGTACATAGATTTTTTTTAAGAAAAAAAACTTTCTTTATAGGCTTTAGAAGTATTGACATGGGAAAACGATGACATCCTCATTCTTTGCCAAACTCCCAAGTACATTTTTTTTTTAATTTATATAAGTAACACCTCCAAAACTGCATGTGTTGAAGGTGTTATGAATTTACTGTGACATGCCAGGCATTAGCCAATAGGTACTGTGACGTTCACACCAAAACATGCCATTTTACCAGATCTCTTGTACAGTATTGTTACGTTCCCCATTGGTGGGCTAGTAGGGTTATACACATATACAGTCCTGGATCATTTATTAGGAAAACTGTGAAAAAGCATTTGCCAATTGTGGATGTGCAAAAGGAGGAAATAACACGTGATAAAAAATGATTTTTCCCTTTCCTTCAATTGTGCCACCTCTTTACACACTGAGAGCTGAACCACAGTATACCTCTTCCTGGTTCCTAATGTTATTTTGCACCAATCTAGGCATTCTCTATAGCCTTTTTGAGGGAGAACATTACTGTCTATGGGGTATGGGATAAATGGCTTTTTTTGGAAGAAATGTTTGACAAATAGGGGGAAAAAATTGCATGGGATAAGGATATATGGTCGAGAGAGGTACATGAACTAACCTGCGTATGTTCCAAGCTCTGTTTGTCATTAAATGCTACTGTTCTGGTTATTTTTCCAGTACGTTCAATATATATATATATATATGTGTATATTTCAATAAAAGGAAAATTTCAATGAGTACAGTAGCTTATATCTAATTAGAGCCAGACGAATTGATTATATCTACCGTATTTACAGCCAGATGAACTTCGTGCAGCTAGTCCTCATGATCGTTTGGAAAAAGGCTTTGGCACACGGCCAGCTTAAACCGTCTTTCCAATATGTCTGAATAGGAGTTCCAGCAGCCAAGGTCTTTGATATACCATGAACGGTTGCAGGAACTGGGCCTGGCTAGTCTAGTGAAGAGAAGGACCAGGGAAGACATGATAGCAGTCTTCCAATATTTGAGGGGCCGCCACAGAGAGGATCAAGCTATTTTCCAAAGCATCTGAAGGCCAGACAAGGATTAATAGATGGAAATTGAAGAAGGAGAGATTCAACCTGGAAATAAGGAGAAACTTTCTGACAGTGAGAACAATCAACCAATGGAACAACTTTGCCTTCGGAAGTTGTGGGAGCTTCATCACTGGAAGCTTTCAAGAAGGGACTGGACAGCCATGTGTCAGAAATGATGTATGGTCTCCTGCTTGGGCAGGGGTTGGACTAGATGACCTACAAGGTCCCTTCCAATTCTGTTAATCTGTTTATTCTTTTCTGTGACATTTAAAGAAATACTTAAAATGCTTAAATGCTTCTTTTGAGATGATTGAAGAATTGGAGAAATGCAGTGGAGAGGGTTAAGCTGTTATCTGTACATTCCTCTAAGATGAGCGGATTAATCACCTCATGCTGGAATTTGCAAATACCGCGTTTCTTCAAATGTCATCTCCTTGACCCCTGCCTCAGATCAGTTTTCCTGGGTCCAAATGTGTTTCAGACCTCGACATTATAGAAGTAGTCCTTGACTTACGACCACAATTGAGTCCAAAATTTCTGTTGCTAAGCGAGACATTTGTTCAGTGAGTTTTGCCCCATTTTACATCCTTTCTTGCCACAGTTGTTAAGTGAATCACTGTATTAAGTGAGTAACAAGGTTGTTAAGGGAATCTGGCTTCCCCATTGACTTTGCTTGTCAGAAGGTCGCAAAAGCGGATCATCTCACCCCAGGGCACTGCAATGGTCACAAATATGAGGCAGTTGCCAAGCATCTAAATTTGGATCATGTGACCACTGAGGATGCTGTAACAGTTGTAAGTGCGAAAAACGGTCCTAAGTCACTTTATTCAGTCCCATTGTAACTTTGAACGATCAGTAAGTCAAGGTCTACCTATCGTTTCACGGGCATGCTTTGTTTTTAAATAAGGAAGAGCAAGTGTTTTCTCATTAGAAAATACATTTTATTTAAAACTACAAGCAATTGCTTCTCCAAATAGATGAGGCAAGTTATCTTCAAGCGGTGATTCATTCCTGCTGAGCTGGATTTAAAGCTGATGGGAGAAAAAGAACAACAATAAAAAAAATAAAAGAAGACGTCAGGATGGTGATGTGGAGAACTGAAAAGAGTTTTTAAGTGATAGAGACATCGCGGTGTGTCCGTGTGTGTGTGTGAGAGAGAGAGAGAGAGAAGGAGGGAGTGAGAGAGACTGTGTGTCAGTTTGGCCTAGTGGTTAAACCACCAGGCTACATATTCATTATACTTTATACTTTTTATCGTCACATTTGCAATTTAATCGCATATTCTTATTTCATTATTCCAAAAGTTCCATCTTAATTCTAATAATTCAAAAAGATTTCCCCTTTAATTACTAATTTGAAGGTACCACCCCTTTATCTTATACATCATTTAGTTAATAAATTATGAAGACATGAGAACTATTTAAAATAAAAAGAAATAAGAAAGGAATAGAAAATAAATAAAACAAATTTGAGGAATATAAGAATTTTTGAGAAAATTTACAGAAAATATGAAATGTAATGTTATGATATGAAATCAAATGTGAAAGATGAATATGTAACCAAGGTCATGTTTGTATGGAAATGTGAAAACCTGGAACCATGCTGTTCACTACAAGAGATGTTTTTGAAATATAAAAAATAAAAAACTTTTTACACACAAAAAAAGGCACCAGGCTACAAAGCGGAAAATCGTGAGTTCTAGTCCCGCCTTAGCCATGAAAGCCAGCTGGGTGACCTTGGGCGAGTCACCCAGCCCACCTCACCTCACAGGGTTGTTGTGGGGAAAATAACAGGTCCCGTAGGAAGGGTTGGGAGAATGTAGGAAAGTTTCACCACCTTGGGTTATTTGTAAAAATAATAAAGGAGCGATATAAATGAGTAAAATAAAATAAATAAAATACCCTATTTCCCCATGTATAAGCCACCCCTTTTTTCCAAAATTTTCAAGCCCAAAAAGTAGGGGGGTGGCATATACAAAGCAGGTACACTTTTTATACGTGAAAAATGCATAAAATAATAAAGTAGGAATAAACTGGTTTTCCAGCAGTATGCTATACTTTTTTGTAAAAATTGTACGTGATGATACGATTATGAGTGCGAGTACGCGATAGAAATGCATACTCTAGGCATCGGCCTGAATGCTTCGTTCCTACTCTCGTTCCGATGCGTAGATTGCTAGCGTCGCCCGCACCGCTTTTGGCGTCATGACCGAAGTTGTAGATCTAGACGTCAAATTTTGTTTCTTTGTAAATTTTCTTTCTTCATAACTTGTTTCTCTAATAAAATATTTTTTTCAAAACTTCACAGTCCAAAAATTGGGGGGGTGGCTTATACAAAGGGGGTGCTTATACATGGGGAAATACGGTAGTCAAAATGGCAACTGGGACTGCATGATCAGGAGCAGGGTTTCAAGCCTTGATTTGTTTGTTTATTTTTATCCTGCCTTTATTTTTTTATAAATAATTCAAGGTGGCAAACCTACCTTACGCTCCTTTCTCCTTGTATTTTCCTCATAGCAAAAAACCTTGTGAGGTGGGTTGCCCCCATATCCCTAGAATTGTCAAGCAGCCCAAGCTTGGAGTCACTGGGTTTGCTCAGATGTTTATTTTTCCTCTGTCTTCCTTTTATATTCACTACCCTTGTTTCTATCAGCACCTTGGCAGAGCGTTCGATGCCCTTGGATTACAAAATTGACTGTAGATACAATCAAATCTCATTATACAATCAGAAGTTTGGTGGGTTATACAGATTGATTATGAAGAAGCCACAATTAACAAGAATGTCAGCATGAAGAGGCAACAAGAATGAAGGCATGAAGAGGCACAAAGCTGGCTAGTTTAAGGGGAGGGAGACCTGAAAGTAAACATTCACATGTGCAGAAGATAGGGTACAAGAATAAAAGAATAGGCCTTTTATCTCTGGTTAATGTGTATACAGATAATCATCCACTTATGACCATGACTCCAGAATTACGATCAGAAGTCATGTTGCTTGTTAAGCAGATCACCGTGTGAGTGAATCCAACTTTACAACATTTCGGGTGACCGTTGTTAATGTCATGGTCATTAAGCAAAACCATTATAGCCCATGGGTGGATTTATTTACGGTAGATTTTGCCAGAAATCAGAAGTAAATGCCAGAAAGCTGCAAAAAATGTCAAAAAATGAGGTGGCTACATAAATTTGAATAATAAAATAAAAAATGGTTCTTCCTTCTTTTATTCCTTGTGCCACATTTCAGTCCCTTTCCCAGGGACCCGTTTCTCCTAGTTTTATGTCTACAGTGTGGAAGAAAATGCTTACTTCATCATGTAAGTGTTGCAAACCATGACTGAGGTAAGTAAATCTACCGTATTAGAAACCATGGCTTGTTTCACCATGCTGGGGCTATGCCATTCAAACTAGGTCAACATGTGTAAAGCATTCTAGAACCCCAAGTTCAGAATTGTGTACATTCTGCAAATAGAACCAAATACAGAAATATAGTCAACTCGTATTCAGTATCTAGGAACACCTTTTAGAAATACATTCACTTACACAGGTAGTCCTCGGCTTATAGCAGTTCATTTAGTGACTGCTCGAAGTTACAATGTCAATGAAAAAAGTGACTAATGACCGTTTTTCACTCATTGCAACATCATGGTCATGTGGTCAAAAATTTGGATGGTTGGTAATTGGTTGTTATTGATGACAGTTGCAGTGTCCCGGGATCATGTTCAGGGGTTGGGCTGCTGGAGGTTCACGGGTTCAGGAGAGCCCCTAGCTAAGATTCTGTGCAGTTCAGAGAACCCCCAAATCCCACTCCTGGCTGGCCCCGCCCCCCCTCCTCTCCCCTCCCAGGAGTCCCCATGTGGCTCCTTTTGGATGCAAGTAAGCGCAGGGTGTGCACAGAGGCTCAGGGAGGGCGATGAACGGGCCTCCCAGAAGTTCGGGAAGGCTGGAAATGGGCCCATTTCTGGCCTCCAGAGCCCAGGAAGGCTGTTTTCATCCTGGAGAATCAAAGAAAGCTGCTGGAGCCTGGGGAGGGCAAAAAAGCCTCCCCCCCCCAGCCGTGGTGCAGGAGGCTGACTAGGCCACGCCTACCATTGCCACGTCCACCCAGCAACCAGGCAGAGACCCCTTTGCTAAAATTCTTGAAGCCCACCCCTGGTCATGTGATTTTTCAAGCCCGAAATTGACATAAGTGTAGCCATTTTAGTTAGGATTAGTATCAGGGGTGGGATTCTACCAGTTTGCACCTATTCGCCAGAACCGGTTGTTAACTTTCTAAGCAGTTCGGTG